GATGTTACCTCACTCTTCCACCAAGGCTCCTGCAAGTTCCCAGACATTTCTGGGGGGAATGGCCCTAGCCCTCACCCTCCGATCCAACAGGTCCCAGACGTGCTCAATGGGATTGAGATCCGGGCTCTTCGTTGGCCATGGCAGAACACTGACATTCCTGTCTTGCAGGAAATCACGCACAGAATGAGCAGTATGGCTGGTGTTATTGTCATGCTGGAGGGTCATGTCAGGATGAGTACCACATGAGGGAGGAGGATGTCTTCCCTGTAACGCACAGCCTTGAGATTGCCTGCAATGACAACAAGCTCAGTCCGATGATGCTGTGACACACCGCCCCAGACCATGTTGCCGGTGATGTCTGGTGAGGACCTGCCTTACAACAGGCCTACAAGCCCTCAGTCCAGCCTCTCTCAGTCTACTGCGGACAGTCTGAGCACTGATGGAGGGATTGTCTATTCCTGGTGTAACTCGGGCAGTTGTTGTTGCCATCCTGTACCTGTCCCGCAGGTGTGATGTTCGGATGTTCCGATCCTGTGCAGGTGTTGTTACACGTGGTCTGCCACTGCGAGGACGATCAGCTGTCTGTCCTGTCTCCCTGTAGCGCTGTCTTAGGCATCTCACAGTACGGACATTGCAATTTATTGCCCTGGCCACATCTGCAGTCCTCATGCCTCCTTGCAGCATGCCTAAGGCACATTCATGCAGATGGGTAGGGACCCTGGGCATCTTTCTTTTGGTGTTTTTCAGTCAGTAGAAAGGCCTCTTTAGTGTCCTAAGATTCCATATCTGTGACCTTAATTGCCTACCGTCTGTAAGCTGTTAGTGTCTTAACGACCGTTCCACAGGTGCGTGTTCATTCATTGTTTATGGTTCATTGAACAAGCATGGGGAAACCGTGTTTAAACCCTTTACAATGAAGATCTGTGATGTTATTTGGATTTTTACAAATTATCTTCGAAAGACAGGGTCCTGAAAAAGGGACGTTTCTCTTTTTGCTGCGTTTCTATGGTCCGACTGATAGGCAGTGGGGAACAGGGGGACTGCTGTTGCCCAAACTTAGACTTCTTATTCATTACTTCATTTATTATTGGGCGAGTTTGTTTTGCATCTCCCAGTGGGTGGGTAGAAATATCACTTTAGGACCAATGGGCACTGGGCAATGCAAAACTAATTAGCCTAATAAGACGAGGTCTAATCGCTTTCCACATAGGCAATCCTGTGTGAGATAAATCTGTGAAATGACTAACAGTTTAGCAGCACGTGTCCCACGTCTAAAGGTACATACATAATTGGTAGACAGTTCTTATTTAATTGGCATCCCTTACATCACTGAGAAGTGCACAAGAAAGTATTAAATCCAGCTTTTAGATGCTACCCACTTTGTGCTTTCTTCCCATTCTTCAACTCTTCGAAGAAAATCTGTTTAGGGGGATGGGTAGCAGGCATCCTGGTCACATGGCCCGCCCATCTGAGCTGTGCTTTCATAAGCAGTTTGGGAAATCAAATTTTATTTGCCACATGAGTGAAATGCTTACTTACAAGCCCTTAACCAACAATGCAGTTAAGAAAAAAAGTGTTAAGTAAAAAATAGAATGCTCATCGTGTCGGCAGGCTGAGGACTTCAGTGTCTGGGATTCTGTCCTGCCACTTGATCCTCAGCAGCTTCCTCAAACAATTCAGTTGAAAGTGGCTTAGTTTCCTGGCATGGCGTTTGGTAGACTGGTAGACAGGTTTCGCAGCCATAAGTAAGGGTTGGTAATATGACTGCCTGGTAAACATTCAGTTTTGTTGCCAGTTTGATGCCTGTCCTTTCCCACACTGAATCTCACAGACGGCCAAAGGCTACACTAGCCTTGGCGATCCTGATGTTTGTTTAATTGTCTATGTGAACACCCCAAGACATTCCGCTACCAAGGTATGTGAATTTGACCACAGCTGACAGTTTCTGACCTGTCAGAGATGGTTGGGTCCATGCAAGGATTCCACAGACAGGAAATAGTGGAATCGTGTGTGCGCGCTAAGCATGGCACAAAGCGAGAACAAAACATTGGCATCCATTTTTGATTTGGGGAGAGGGATAGCACCTAAAAACTGGATTTTAATACTTTCTTGTGCCCTGCTCGGAGATGTATGAGATGCCAATTTAATAAGAACTGTCTACCGATTATGGATATACCTTCCAACATGGGACACATGCTGCTTAACAGATAGTCATTTCAGCATTGCATGTGGAAAGGGATTAGACTCAGTGGTGTAGTGTAGGGTAAACGCAAGCAAACACAGTTTACCCACCTTTTTGTTTTTACACAACAGTTTACCCAAATTCATTAAATGTATGTGGAGCAGTACTTTTTTTCACCACGACTGATGATCAGTTTACCCACGTATTTTTCTACCACTACATCACTGATTAGCCCCGTCTCATTAATATTGATTAAAATATCTAATAAGAGGTTACGTTTCGGCTATACCTGCTGCTGCTTTTGTGAAAATTGTGGTCGCATTCAGTGTTGCCATCTAATTTTCAGGGTAAATTGCTAGAGGCAGGTAGATTTGTTGCTAAACGACGTTGTGATGTCATTGCGTGATGACGTAAAACTGCGTCATTACGTAGAATACACAATAACGTTACTCAAATTGACTGGCCATCTCGGCAACAAATATGATTTGTTTAACTGTTAGTTTAGATTTGTTTGTTTATTATCAAATTTTATCATAGATGCGAGCCTCACCTCATAGTCAGTGGAGTGTGCGGAGGAGCGGGGTGGCATGAGAGAACTTGGGAAGGTTGAACACCAGACGGGCTGCAGCGTTCTGGATAAGTTGTAGGGATTTAATGGCACAGGCAGGGAGCCCAGCCAACAGCGAGTTGCAGTTATCCAGACGGGAGATGACAAGTGCCTGGATTAGGACCTGTGCCGCTTTCTGTGTGAGGTAGGGTCGTACTCTGCAAATGTTGTAGAGCATGAACCTGCAGGATCGGGTCACCGCTTTGATGTTAGCGGAGAACGACAGGGTGTTGTCCAGGGTCATGTCAAGGTTATTTGCACTCTGGGAGGAGGACACAATGGATTTGTCAACCGTGATGGCGAGATCATGGAGCGGGCAGTCCTTCCCCGGGAGGAAGAGCAGCTCCGTCTTGCCGAGGTTCAGCTTGAGGTGGTATCCGACATCCACACTGATATGTCTGCCAGACATGCAGAGATGCGATTCGCCACCTGGTTATCAGAAGGGGGAAAGGAGAAAATTAATTGTGTGTCGTCTGCGTAGCAATGATAGGAGAGACCATGTGAGGATATGACAGAGCCAAGTGACTTGGTGTATAGAGAGAATAGGAGAGGGCCTAGAACTGAGCCCTGGGGGACACCAGTGGTGAGAGCACGTGGTGTGGAGACAGATTCTCGCCACGCCACCTGGTAGGAACGACCTGTCAGGTAGGACGCAATCCAAGAGTGAGCAGCGCCGGAGATGCCCAACTCGGAGAGGGTGGAGAGGAGGATCTGATGGATCACAGTATCAAAGGCAGCAGATAGGTCTAGAAGGATAAGAGCAGAGGAGAGAGAGTTAGCTTTAGCGGTGCGGAGAGCCTCCGTGACACAGAGAAGAGCAGTCTCAGTTGAATGACCAGTCTTGAAACCTGACTGGTTTGGATCAAGAAGGTCATTCTGAGAGAGATAGCAGGAGAGTTGGCTAGAGATGGCACGCTTAAGAGTTTTGGAGAGAAAAGAAAGAAGGGATACTGGTCTGTAGTTGTTGACATCGGAGGGATTGAGTGTAGGTTTTTGAGGAGGGGTGCAACTCTCGCTCTCTTGAAGACGGAAGGGACATGGCCAACGGTCAAGGATGAGTTGATGAGCGAGGTGAGGTAAGGGAGAAGGTATCCGGAAATGGTCTGGAGAAGAGAGGAGGGGATAGGGTCAAGCGGGCAGGTTGTTGGGCTGCCGGCCGTCACAAGTCGCAAGTTTCATCTGGCGAGAGAGGGGAGAAAGAAGTCAAAGCATAGGGTAGGGCAGTGTGAGCAGGACCAGCGGTGTCATTTTACTTAATAAATGAGGATCGGATGTCGTCAACCTTCTTTTCAAAATGGTTGACGAAGTCATCCACAGAGAGGGAGGAGGGAGGGGGAGGAGGAGGAGGATTCAGCAGGGAGGAGAAGGTGGCAAAGAGCTTCCTAGGGTTAGAGGCAGAGGCTTGAAATTTAGAGTGGTAGAAAGTGGCTTTAGCAGCGGAAACATAATAATGATGTGTGCGCTAGGCATCTCTCTCCAGCTCTCTCCATTTCAATGTCATTTCCATTTTAGTCGTTTAGCAGATGCTCTTATCCAGAGCGACTTACAGTTAGTGAGTGCATACATTTTCTCCAGGTTATTGTGCTGCTTGGCTGGCCTGCTGCTGCCTGTGCACGAGCTGAGCGCCTGCTGCTGACGTCACTCACGATGTACTTTTGCAGCCAGGCACGTGCGTTGTGACTGAGTGTGTGACAGAGAAAATCGTCTTTGGATAAGTATTTTACATATCAGCTAACCACATCATATGTTATAGCATTCTGGTGTGCCCGACGGCACAGTCGATGACGTGGCAGACAACCATTGGTTGATGCAATGCAATGCCTGCGCATCTAGCCGGGTTGGAGCTCAACCAAGGTTTGAACACGACCTTGAGGTTACAGGGTGAGCCATAAAGGTCATGGTCCTTGATTCTTTCTACTATAATATCAGACTTGCCTTTTATAAAACCAGCTATATACCCACCAAATTGGGGATTATTTCAAGTATGGGGAAGCATGGGGTTGAATAGATATCTCCACGACTCAATGGAGAGCATTTCCATTGAGGATTTTCAGTGTATTTAGTATTCACGGCTTTAATGCACCAGAAGACTGTTAATGTACTACATGGAGCTTGAAGAATACTTGTAGTTCGGTGTCTTGTGGGTCATGTAGTATTGAAGCTTTGGTCCACCCCCGGAAGTAGTATATCCTCTTGGCGTTAAATTTGATCTGACTATCGCGCCATTCTGCTCCTGTCTCTTTTGGGCTCTCTTCAGTAACTTGGCTATCTAGGTTTTGAGTTTATAACTAGCTAAATAATTTAGCCATTACCTCATTATTTATAATGGCAACACCTCCAAAGAGAATATGTTCAAGTCCCAGATTTGACAACAGTTTTGAGAAAAGAACTAAGAAGATATCCATTGAAGGAAACATTGGTGAGTTTGCTCAGCCAGCTGGCTACAAATTTAGCTAGCTATCTATACACTTTAACTTATCTGAGAGCTAGCTATCGATCTATTTCTAAAATTAGATAAGTTAGTTAACTACCTATGTGGATGTTTAACCTCCAAGATGTGTGGTCTGATTTTACTCAACCAATCCCGCCGAATCGACAGCACATAACATTATGTTCTGTTCATTGTAAACGGAGGTATTGGCGCCAAAACAATACATTATGTCAATCTTTGCCTGCATTTCATTCCTCCTAAATACTTTACGTTAACTAGCTTACTATCTAGTTAGCTAACTTTTATTTGTACTTTCCCCCCTTTCACGACATGACTTTTTACCTCGCTACCAAGTTAACTTAGTTGTAATGGCCAAGTTAGCTAATTTGATAGACTGCCAAAAAATATCTACACTAGCTAGGTTTCCATCCAATTATCGACAGATTTTAATGCAAATATTCTCAAATCTGCATAAAAACAATATGAGCATTTCCCACGAGATGCTTCCATCAAATTGACTCGTTGCGCACAAAAGGCTGTAAAAAGACGTTTTGCAGTAAAATGTCCATGTACCGACTAAAGAATACATGCTAAATGGGTTTTCCATCGCATTTTCAACTCTACTGATGGGTTTCTTACAACAGATATTGTGTTATATAGTGTGTACCTACTCTTGTATTGGCATGTGCGCTCTAGCCAGCAGGTCCAGTTCGGGTCGGGTATAGGTTGCGGGTAAACGGCATCCAAGGATCGATGATTATTTCACCAGAATAAGACCCTCGATATTTATTGGAAAAGCGCATCAGGCTCATTCATTACCTTGCACTTTCACCACCCTGTGAAGTTAATTTATTTAATCTGTAGCCTAATAAACTGCATGATTTCCCGAGGACCACACAGGTCATCGCGTGACTCCCAAGTTTAATTCCATATGATAGTTATGTCAATATTTGCGCATAACGTTTACACCGCTTTTTCGCGCACAACTTTTGAAAGAGGTTTGAACTGAGAATCTTATAAATACAACTGAGTTACAAGCAGTGATGGAAAAAGTAACCAATTGTCATACTTGAGTAAAAGTAATGATACCTTAATAGAAAATGACTCAAGTGAAAGTCACCCAGTAAAATACTACTTGAGTAAAAGTAGTAGGTCAGATAACATTTGTTTTATAAAACATTTAGTTGAATGAGCAATATAAACAAAAACATTGGAACAGACTGTTTATGCTGCCCTTGGGGCAGAAATTTATATTTGGGTTAAGATCATTCTGGTGCCCTAAGGGCGGACTTCAAGCACTGAAGGTAATACAAAAAAGTATGTACTGCCCTAGGGGCAACCATGGACTTATGGTCATTTCCATGCAAAAGGACTCATGAGCAACAACATGTGAAGTTCATAGGAGCATGTCAAATTGCTACTATGAGCTAAGAGTCTATACTGTATATTTTAGAAATTAAGATATATATATATATATATATATATATATATATATATATATATTACATTACATTTTTAAACCATTTTCCACCTGAAAAATGTGGAATAGGCAAAGGCTTTCATTTCTGGTCAAACAGATGGAAAAGGGGTCTTAGAAAATATCCACCAGAAAAAGTCTTAAAAGGTTTTAGAAATACATCAAAACACAATGTTGAAGTGAAGACCCCTGCCAACTAATATCAACACATATTTAGTTATGAAGAAATGTTTCTGCCTGTAAGAAACATTGCCTTGTGCCTTGAAATTCCATTACCAAAAACCTTAGATATTTTCTAATTTGTCTCCCTCATGTGGAGGGAGGATAATGAAAGTTCACAGAAATAACAAGTAGACCTATCAATTAGTTAGTGTTTTTACTGATATCAATTTTGATTATGAATTCTTGAGTGATTAAAACTCTTAAATTCCATTACCAAATCGGTAAAGGAATTTCCAAAAAATATGTAGCGGAATTTCTGCAATTGAATTGGCTACAATGGAAAATCATAGTCACAAACCACAGTTGGGTTCACAAGTTTGGACAGTACAGTAAAGAGAAGTAGAGTATAGTTCAGTACAGTACACAGAAGAGCACACTAGATGGGTGGGCGTATACCACAAACGTTTAGCAACCCAAAGGTTGGGAGTTCGAATCTCATCACGGACAACTTTAGTATTTTAGCTAATTAGCAACTTTTCAACTACTTAATACTTTTTAGCTACATTGCAACCACTTAGCATGTTAGCTAACCCTAACTTTAACCCTTTTAACTAAGTCCTAAACTTAACCCTAACCATTAGCCTAGCTAATGTTAGCCAGCTAGCCACCTAGCTAGAATTTGTAACATATCATATGTTTAGCAAATTCGTAACATTGTACGTTTTGAAAAATCGTAACATACGAAATCAGTGATGGACATCCACAAATTAATACATACCATATGAAACGTAACATATCATACTAAATGGCATGTCTCGTATTTACGTACAGAATTGATTTAGGATACATCACCATGAAAGAATTGCCCTTATCTAAATTATATCCTATGGTTATCGTCACCTAAACTAACATTTACTAGCATATTTGAGACCTAGCTATCTATCTCTATTTTATGATTCAACATTAGTAAAAGGTAGCTATCTGTTTAGGCAGCTAGTTCAGAGATATTGTCACATTTGTCTGAGTACTTTAATGCAATAACTTGTAACTCAATGTTTTATTTACAAGATTCTCAGTTCAAACCTCCGCCCTGTTTTTAAAAGTTTTGTATCTCTTAAACTCTGCCCATTGACCTTTTAGAAACCAATCGGATTTGTTCTGCCCTAAACCAATCAGATTATTTCTGCCCTTAGAACAAAGTGTCACCTTATGTCAACCTGTTCCAATGTATGGCTTTGGGTTCTCGTGAGCTAGCTATGCATGTCTTAAATGCAGTCCTTGCTAGCAGAACTGCAGTGAGAATTATTATGGTTAACTAGCTAACTTGTCTTATGTCTTGTTTTCCTAGTAATGTTATATTGGGATACTGCTTTAAAGGCGTTTATGTGTGTTGCAGCTGCAGGGAAGTCAACATTTGTGCACATTTTAGAAAAATCTTCAGAAGAATGGGAGGTCATACCGGAGCCCATTGGGAAGTGGTGCAACGTTCAAAACACTGACAATGAGTATGAGGTAACTACGTGTTGTGTCCCATACATAATGTTACGTAAAGTTATATCCCATTTTTAAGTTCATGTGAGTCACAACGTTGGACAATTAGTCCTCTGCTTGACAATTCTGTGATCCCTCTTCCAGGAGCTCAGCACATCTCAGAAGAGTGGAGGCAACCTGCTGCAGATGCTGTATGACAAACCTAGCCGCTGGTCCTACACATTCCAGAGTTACGCCTGCCTGAGTCGTGTGCGTGCTCAGCTGCAGCCGCCTTCTGCAAAGTTGCAACAGGCAGAGAAACCTGTCCAGTTCTTTGAGCGCTCTGTTTACAGTGACAGGTGTGTACCCGTCTGGTGGTTGATTGGTTAGTTGGAAAATCAGAAAACGACCTGAGATAACCTGTGGTAATGGCACGAGTGTCTGTCTTATTCCACTGAGTCTGTCTTGTTATGTGACTCTTTGCCAGGTATGTATTTGCCTCCAACCTATTTGAGTCTGGGGACTTGAATGAGACCGAATGGGCTATTTACCAAGACTGGCACGGTTGGCTGCTCTCTCAGTTTGAGTCTCAAATTGAGCTGGATGCCATGATCTACCTTCGGGCTGACCCACAGGTGAGTAAAGCCATTACACCCTCAGGTCACAAGTGTTTGAACTTCAAACTGTTTGGCTGTCAGATGACTTTTCTGTTGTTGTTTTTTTACACAGCCACGTGCTTAAGGATTTAATTTTCAGCCTTGAGGATTTAATTTTCAGTCTTACATTATACTGAAGTGCTTACATGGTTTTATATATTTCGGCCTGGTACAGAAACTGACCCAAACATTTCATGTCTTTGTTTCAGAGATGTATGCAGAGGCTGCACCTCCGGGGACGGGAGGAAGAACAAGGAATTCCAATCGAGTATCTGGAGAAACTGCACTACAAGCATGAGTGCTGGCTGCACCACCGCAGTACTCAGTAAGTGTTCACCCATTTACACGTACAGTGCATTCAGAAAGTATTCAGACCCCTTGACTTTTTCCACATTTTGTTACGTTACAGCCTTATTCTAAAATGGATTAAATTGTTTTTTCCCCCCCTCAATCTACACACACAATACCCCCATAATGGCAAAGGTAAAAAATGTTTTGTGTGCAAATGTATACAAAAACAATCACATTTACATAAGTATTCAGACCCTTTACTAAGTACTTTGTTGATGCACCTTTCGCAGCGATTACGCCTCGAGTCTTCTTGGGTATGACACTACACGCTTGGCACACCTGTATTTGGGGTATTTCTCCCATTCTCGGAAGGTCGGATGGGGAGCGTCGCAGCACAGCTATTTTCAGGTCTCTCCAGAGATGTTCGATCGGGTTCAAGACCGGGCTCTGGCTGGGCCACTCGAGGACATTCAGAGACTTGTCCCGAAGCCATTCCGGTGTTGTCTCGGCTGTGTTCTTAGGGTCATTGTCCTGTTGGAAGGTGAACCTTCGCCCCAGTCTGAGGTCCTGAGCGCTCGGGAGCAGGTTTTCATCAAGGATCTCTCTGTACTTTGCTCCGTTCATCTTTCCCTCGATCCTGACTAGTCTCCCAGTCCCTGCCGCTGAAAAACATCCCTAAAGCATGATGTTGCCACCACCATGCTTCACCGTAGGGATGGTGCCAGATTTCCTCCAGACGTGACGCTTGGCATTCAGGCCAAAGAGTTCAATCTTGGTTTTATCAGACCAGAGAATCTTGTTTCTCATGGTCTGAGAGTCCTTAAGGTGCCTTTTGGCAAACTCCAAGTGGGCTGTCATGTGCCTTTTACTGAGGAGTGGCTTCCGTCTGGCCACTCTACCATAAAGGCCTGATTGGTGGAGTGCTGTGGAGATGGTTGTCCTTCTGGAAGGTTCTCCCATCTCCACAAAGGAACTCTAGAGCTCTATCAGAGTGAACATCAGGTTGTTGGTCACCTCCCTGACCAAGGCCCTTCTCCCCCGATTGTTCAGTTTGGTCAGGCGGCCAGCTCTAGGAAGAGTCTTGGTGGTTCCAAATTTCTTCCATTTAAGAATGATGGCGGCCACAGTGTTCTTGGGGACCTTCAATGCTGCAGACATTTTTTGGTACCTTTCCCCCAGATCTGTGCTTCGACACAATCCTGTCTTGGAGCTCTACGGACAATTCCTTCTACCTCATGACTTGTTTTTTGCTCTGACATGCACTGTCAACTGTGGGACCTTTATATAGACAGGTGTGTGTGCCTTTTCCAAAACTCGTCCAATAAATTGAATTTACCACAGGTGGACTCCAATCAAGTTGTAGAACCATCTCAAGGATGATTAATGGAAACAGGATGCACCTGAGCTCAATTTCGAGTCTCATAGCAAAGGGTCTGAATAGTTGTGTAAATAAGGTATTTCTGTTTTCTATTTGTAATCAATCTATTATTTTTTTACCTGTTTTCACTTTGTCATTATGGGGTATTGTGTGTACATTGAGGCAAAACATTTTATTTAATCCATTTTAGAATAAGGCTGTAACGTAACAAAATGTGGAAAAAGGGTCTGAATACTTTTCGAATGCACTGTATGGATTTCACATGACTGGGAATAAAGATATGCATCTGTTGGTCACCGATACCTTAAAAAAAGGTAGGGGTGTGGATCAGAAAACCAGCCAGTATCTGGTGAGACCACCATTTGCTTCATGCAGCGAGACACATCTCCTTTGCATAGAGTTGATCAGGCCGTCGATTGTGGCCTATGGAATGTTGTCCAACTCCTCTTCAATGGCTGTGTGAAGTTGCTAGATATTGGAGGGAACTGGAACACGCTGACGGACACGTCGATCCAGAGCATCCCAAACATGCTCAATGGGTGACATGTCTGGTGAGTATGCAAGCCATGGAAGAACTGGGACATTTTCAGCTTCCGGGAATTGTGTACAGATCCTTGCGACATGGGGCCGTGCATTATCATGCTGAAACGTGAGGTGATGGTGGCGGATGAATGGCACGACAATGGGCCTCAGGATCTTGTCACGGTATCTCTGTGCATTCAAACTGCCATTGATTAAATGCAATTGTGTTCGTTGTCCATAGCTTATGCCTGCCCATAGAATAACCCTGCCACCACCATGGGGCACTCAGTTCACAACGTTGACATCAGCAAACCGCTCGCCCACATGACGCCATACACGTGGTCTGCGGTTGTGAGGCTGGTTGGATGTACTGCCAAATTCTCTAAAACAACTTTGGAGGCGGCTTATGGTAGAGAAATGAACATTCAATTATCTGGCAACAGCTCTGGTGGACATTCCTGTAGTCAGCATGCCAACTGCACGCTCCCTCAACTTGATACATCTGTGGCATTGTGTTGTGTGACAAAACTACACATTTTAGAGTGGCCTTTTATTGTCTCCAGCACAATGTGCACTTGTGTAATGATCATGCTGTTTAATCAGCTTGTTGATATGCCACACCTTTCAGATGGATGGATTATCTTGGCAAATGAGAAATGCTCACTAACAGGAATGCAAACTAATTTGTGCACAATTTGAGAGAAATAAGCTTTTTGTGCATATGGAACATTTCTGGGATCTTTTATTTCAGCTCATGAAACATGGGAACAACACTTTACATGTTGCGTTTTTGTTGAGTGTATTTTAACCAATATGCAACTTGTGTTGATGTCTGTGCTGGTGTTAGACTATCATGTCAACTTCTGTCCCATTTTGGCAGCACAGATGAGTGGTTTCTTTGTCAAGGTGCTGGCATTACTAGCAATTTGGGAATGTTATCAGTGTAATATTGTTTCCTGCTTCTTTTAGACTAGACTTTGAGTACCTGAAAGATATCCCCATCCTGGTCCTGGATGTTAATGATGACTTCAAGAATGATCGAATCAAGCAAGAAGCTGTGCTGGACAAGGTCAGTGTTGGTTTGCGCTTGCATCTTCAAGAGATTGCTTAGTTCACCCCAAATCAGAATTTCTCAGGGCTTACATGTGCATTTTTTTATTTATTTTTAAATCCATGTTTCCACACAGGTCAGAGAATTCCTCAGCACGCTGTGAGCTGGAAAGGATACCGATGCTACAGACTGCACCATTCCTGACAGCCTATATCAACTTCCATTCCTCAAAGAATACACTAGGTCTCTGGTCCTCCATGCCTAAGACAATACTGGCAGAGAGAAGATTTGGCTATTTTCTAACTAATTTCATGCCATTCTCATTTTGCCATTGGGTGGAGAGAAATGTTGGCAGTTTTAATGACATCTGAGTTTGAGTGACTTACAAAATCAATTGGGGCCCTCCGGTTGGTAATTTGACCATGATTACTGCAAGATTACATAGCTGGTAGACTAATTTACCAATCTAAAAACTGTTAGATGACATTGGCTCATTGAGTGACTGTCAGTTACTGACATACAGTAAGAGGAGAAACTGCTGATGCAAACCAACCACATTTTGAAATTGCACCTTGTGTATGCTACTATTCTAACTCTCAAGAGTAAGTTGAGACCCCGACTGAGTTCCTAAAAAATAACATTTTATCCACGGGCCTATAATAGGGGGCCCGCCAGTTTCCCATCCCTGGTCTGGAGACTGAAGATGATAAGTTGAACAGGTGTGTTAGTGCTGAGGTAAAACAAAACCTGCATACAGCAGTAGGACTAGGTGGTTGGACACCTGCCTTACCGACTACACCAGCTGTCTGTCATTCAGACCAGAGATTAATTGGGATTTTTAAATACATTTACCTGCTCATGACAGTTTGTATACTTGAAAATTATGATTTTAGGGTTGCCAGATTTAGGTTGAACTATGTATTTTTAATGTGGTGTGTAAAATGTGCTGTGTGCTTGTTTTTAATGTAGTCAGTTTATAGACTTTTAAATGTATTTATATTTTTGTGATTACATTAACACATGTTATATATATCTATATATAATCTATATCTGTTGCTGGACACAGATTAAGCCTAGTCCTTGACTAAAATGTATTTCAATGGAGATTCTCAATAGAGAATGCTTGCTAGTCCAGGACTAGGTTTGATCTGTACCTGGGAAACCAGAACCAGGAGTTCCTGCAGGATCTTACTCTGACCGCATTTTTGTTTCAGAAAGATTTGGTAACACCACCAGAATGTCATTGTTCATTAAGTGTAAGGTCCCCTCCTATGCCTGTTTTTAGTCTGATTTGAATCACTAAACTTTCACTTCACAAGTGATGCATGTGTCAAAATGTTAGATTAAACTGCTCTTTCTTACAGAGACACATGATGTGCAGTACATCTGTGGCAGGTGGCTGTCGTTTCGTTCAAAATGTTTAGATCCATACATGAGTTTTACTTTGTGTTACCTTTTTTGTGTAAGTAATGTTGCTGTGATTTAAATATACCACTTACAATTTGTTGTTTGATGGCAGTTACATATTTGTTCCTGAAATAAATTATCAAACATCATTGTGAATGTTATATTCATATTGCCCTATAAAAAAAAAAGTTTAATGATAAAATGCTCACAGCCTCAGGTATGATTGAAAAAGGGTTTGTGCTAGAGGAAAGCATTAGACCAGGTGGCGTGACTGAGGATATTCAATAAGTAGTGGCCATCCAGCACACATGATAATGTATACCTGTGACACAGATGAGGTGTTTGCTTACAGCTGCTATTGGATTCATTAAAGGGGACAATCCGGGGGTTGAAACAACAGTGGATTCCACGCACCTCTGTCACAAATGTGACCACTCAAATTCATAGGCAGTGCTATGGATGCATGGACTGACTATCCAAGATAGTACCATTTTTAAGCATGTTTTGAGGCTGTACAGTGTTTGTTTACATTTGCAGTGTTTACAAACATTGGAGGAAAACAAGCTTATATTGTGGGTTCTGATGGGGTACCACAGCTACACTAAGCTCGAGGCATTTATAAGTTATATTCTTCAATAATCATTGAGTATATCATTAATGTATGTCCAAAAATGGCGGGGCAGATTGCTTATATGGGAAATCCCGTTTGATATCTTCCTGCCCCACCATCCTTAGCCGCGTCCCATATGCCAACCTCATCAATGGCGTTTGGAAATGGTTTTATGGTCTAATAAAAGTGGCTTGGCTCTGAGAGATTGAGTTGAAATGTGTAGTTGACATTTGTACATTTATTGACAGACTGACATGAAACTGGGACTATAGTGGCCACTTACTGTTGCATTGCCTAAGTATCCCTGAAAAGTCTATTGGCAAAGATCTAACTCGAATCCTAAATTGCTAAATACATGTTTGGACTTATAAATTAATGATATATGCCCATTGATTTTTTAAGCATATAATTGATAAATTCCCGATGAGCTTAGTTCAACTGTCGTACACCATCATAACCCAACATATAACCTTGTTTTACACCCAATGTTTGTAAACAATGTAAACGTAAACACTATAGCCTCAAAACATGGTATAAACTATAATGTTGATATCATGGATGGCTGGTCCTTGCATCCATACCTCTGTCTATGAATTTGAAAGTGGTTACATTTATCCAGGCCCATCCTTCAGCTTTGTACCTAAACTGAGGCGGGTGTCGTATTGTTATTGTTTCAATTAAGGATTTCTAAATTTGATAACACTGCAATTCATTATTACTAAATGCAAGGATAGGCGGATCACGGAGGTGACACTTTTTGTGACAGACGTGCAAGTGTCCAATGATCTTCCAAATATTCCGTTTCAATTCGTTCTCGTAAACCTACCTTGACGTCGCGTGCTTTCCGCTGACAAGCATCTATTCTAGCCAACGATATGTTGGTATTGTATTTTCCTGACCAATAATATGCATGGATTCTGAATAGAGGCGGGTTAAGAGAGAACTAGAGCGAAGTACGATAGGTTGTTAGAAAGTTAATGGCTTGGAGGAAAAATACACTCTTCTCGCTTCAGGAGAGTTTAAGGATTTTTCTGAAGTATAAACATAATTACTAAAATACCAACAACCCCAAAGAAAGTTTAAGACAATAGTGCGTCTATTAGATTACAAAATACTAAGGAAAGTATGCAGGATGCAGTAGCCGGGACGGCAATGCTGACGGACGGCTTCGAGGACGAGATTGACTCTGTGACTCCGCGCTCCTCTGCTGTAGGAATGGGGGTTGGAGCCACACCAGGAGCCGGACTCGGGGGCTTAGGGATTGGTGTTGGTGGAAAGAAAGTCCGCTTGTTTGGCGAGGCTGGTGGGCCTGCAGCTGACAGGCTTGATTTCAAACTCGCTGCGGCCGCAGTGCTTTCCTCCGGCCCTGGATCTGCCAGCGACGACGATGAGGTATCTGAGGTAAACCACTCATGCTAGCTAAGCTAACCCAGCGAAACTGGACAAGATTCATGTTAGTTAACGTTGCCTAATCCCGTCTCTTTCGACGATATCATGAACCCTCATTCCTTTCTTGTATCAACAAAAATATCAGCCAGAAGTCTTGTATTTTGGCGGATTGTTTGTAGAGTCATGTGGCGAGTAAGCTAGTAACATATTCAGCAATTTGTCATATTATGAGCAGTATTTTGGCAGAGGCTTCGATTTAGGCCTAACGTAGTGGCAGCACATACAGCGGCGCCATCAACTGCTAAAGTTAGCTAGCTAGTGAAATGTTGCTAGGTAGTAAGGGTAGCTAGCTAGTTGGGGTTAACCTGTTTATAGGACAAACTGGTAAGTTGTTTTGAACATGTAACTTGGTGAAGACAAATGTTTCTAGTGTTAGATATGGTAACTGGCATTTAATCATGCATTCACTTGTTCATTGTCACCTCAGTTTTCTATTTGGCTCTAACGTTGTTTAACTAGCCAGCTGGCTAGGCACATTCGCCCTCATCTTTGAATAGCAAACTAATTAACGTTAGTTAGCAGGTCCTCTTAACTTGACACGCAGTTTTATGAATTTCTATAGGTACTTCGCCAGGGTTGATGGCACACTTCCCAAACACAACACGGCTTGATGTGTAATGTTTGTTAGAAGCATGGTGCCGAGCTGTCAGTCAAGATGTTTACTGGAGTGATGATGTAACATAATTCAGCAAAGGGTTTAGAAATGCCCCAGTGATCAAATCCAACATGACATTTCAGAGTTAGCTAATTCTTAACTCTACCTATTCTAAAATGACTAATCTCATATGTAGGATAAAGTAATGTTCAGGCGAGAGACACTCACACTTTGATTCACTTTGGAATGGGTACCTTTTCATGGTGATGAGCAAAATTAAATTGGCTGAATATTTTATTCCAATGTTATTTTCCCGTCTTTGCACTACACCAGAGTCGTATCTATAGACATTGTAAATGACTGCTCTCAGACCTTGATGATCATTGGAAATCTGAAGGAGTGCCTGACCAGTTTGAAGGAGGGTGTTGGAATAGGATGATGGACCTCTGCCACCTGGTTCCTCTGTGTGTTCTCACTCACACTCGCTTCAAGGGAATTTAAACATTTCTTTGTTAACAAAATTACTTTTCTCTTTTTCTTTTTCCTCAATTTGGTATTTAAGTTAGTCAGCTTTTGGTCACAGAAATGTTTGAGAAATACATTTTTTCAATCAGCTGTTAATTAAATGGGTTCCTATCGATAATTGACATCACCTATGAAAAGAAGTGATATCAGAATAGTTTAGACACACACACATCATCGAGACGCACAGAAAAAAAAAAGTACATACATACACCAAGACACACACTCAGACACAGAGGTTGCTGTTTCCCGGAGCTGCATATGATTCCTCCCCTTTCTGTATACAGGACAAGGGTGTCTGTTGCCTTGCATAGCTCATAACGGGTGCCACTTCCTCCCGTTGGGTTGATGGTATTTTGGTTTGAATTTAGGGGTGTAATAGAGTGGGAGGGGTTAGCAGGGTATAGTTACCAGCACTGCCCCAGGTAGACACGCCATTCGTCTGCATTCTTAGATCAGGCAGCCATTTAAAGTCCCTGGCTGCCACACAAGCTGTTTATTAGGGCTGTGAAGATACCATTTTTGCACTATCTTTTTCAAGGGCAAAAATGAAAACACTAAGCAGACCAAACTATTTGGTCCTTTAAAAACCTGCTGTATGTAAAATATTGGTTGCTAGAGCTTGGAAAATAAATGTGAATCTGGATGACAACATAATGTTTGTTTCCAACATTAGGGCTGTTTTCCTAAAGAAGTTAAATCGGCTTTGTTTTGTTTCCTTGCTACGATACTAACGAGTATGTGACAAATAAAATGTGATTTTATTTGATGACACCTTATTAGTAACCCAACCCATACAGATTTATTTTATTTATGTATTTTTTGGGGGGGTATTTTACCCTCTTTTTCTCCCCCATTTCGTGGTATCCAATTGGTAGTTACAGTCTTGTCCCATCGCTACAACTCCCGTACGGACACGGGAGAGGCGAAGGTCGAGAGTCATGCGTCCTCCGAAACACAACCCAACCTATCCACACTGCTTCTTGACACAGTGCCCGCTTAAACCGGAAGCCAGCCGCACCAATGTGCTGGAGGAAACAC